TATGTCCCCCGCAAATCACCCTTACAACTTTTCTATGTTTTTCTTTTAGTTTTCTTAATTAAATATTAAAAGAAGGTCGTCGTATTATCAAATATGAATATGCGCTAATATGAAAAAATCTATTTAGATAATATATCTTCTTCTTCTTTAGTGGCGCAGACAAGGCTTAAGTGATTATAACTGAGTTAACGACAGCGCACCATTCGAAAACTTCAGCGCCGATTCACCAGATTTTGACATGATGAGAGACTTGTAGAGCTTGGAATTGCTCCTTGAAATAGGACTTCACCCATACATTTGCCTACTCAGCCGAAATAGCTGATTAAGATTGACAAAAACTCAGGAGCGATGAAAAAAACACCTCTGCACTTGCACTTAAAAGTCATTGCCGTCCCGTCCTTAGTGGCGTATTGGCTGAGTCCCGAATGCGTTTACTGTTTGTTTGATGCTAGGAGGTAATCAACAGTCTCATCCTTTTATGCGGGTCTTTTTCTATATAATTTGAATGGCGAATAGCTTTCCAAACGACTTGAAAGGCTTGAAGTCATTATGTTAATGTCCAAGTCTGTAGCAAGTTGGGTTTAGTTTTTAACATAATACGCTCGATAGACACAATAATAGGCGAGTGTAAGTGGTGGTTTCCACTTTTTTGTGAGCACACATATGGCAGATATGCCTTTGTCCGATCATATTCTCCAGAGGACATATACGCCTTGTTAATTTTTGGCAATTGCTTTTGATCTTTGTCATAGTCGGACAATCGATCTCAACATCTGCGGGTGTTTCATTTTCATTACGACTGAGCGGGATGGAACAGTATCCCTGCCATAAATTCAGTATACTCTTTGTCTCCCACATAATTGAGCTTCGGTCGTAAAATCTTTTAGAAGTCGTTATATTTTCCCATAGTATCTTCAAGCGTTACAGCTTGGCTTGGCAGTTTTCAAAGAGGAAGAGATACCTGTGAAGATGACCCCTTTCCGGGCGTCCAGTGACGGTTGTGACCGAATAAAATGTTCAGAAAGTCGAAAAATTAGTACTGGCTGAATGAATAATTAAATTGTGGCAGATAGTAGAAGGATTACAGATTAGCAAAGAACGAGCTGGAGAGATTTTGTATGAACATTTAAAAATGAAAATGGGTACCTCCCCTCGGTTTGGGACGGATTCCTTTGACCATCTGCGCTACAATCCGGACCTGACTCCCAGTGACTTTTCCCTATTTCAAATTTAAAAAGGAGGTACGGGGACGAAGGCAGTGAGATGAAAGCGGCCGAGGAAAACCATTTTGAAGAGAAATCTAAAGAATTTTTTTAGTGGTATAAAGGCATTGCATGTACGATGCGAAACATAAACGAACATTAAACCATAATTTTTTTTTCATTTAACACTTTAGATCACGACAATGTCAGCCGTGGCGAACCGCTTGCTCTAATACCGATGCCCGCTCGTAGCCATATCCCCTTACATAGCGCAGCGCACTTCGAACTTTATTAGGCATAAGAAATATATAAATAAAAATAATTAACTGAGGCAATTATTAAGTTGATTAAAATAAATTTAATAAATAAATAATAATATTCAAATAAATGGAATAAATTAAATGAATTTAAGTTGTTTTATATTTTAATTGCAAAAATGTAAAACTTAATCCCTTTGATGAAAAATATTTAAATAAATATAGGAATACTAAACTTTGAAATATTCTACTTCAAGAAATATTTTGATTATCCATTGACATTAAAAAAAATTAGCCTCGTTTATAAGGCAAATAGTTTAGAATACTTTTTTTTGCCGAAAAAAATAAAAAAATATTTTCTGTTGTGCTTAGCAATCGTTATTTATGCACATAATAAGATACCTATTTATGGCCATGACCTCACAATAATATTTTTTCAAATACTTTCGAACCAGCCAAACTAACAATGAAGCGCCTGCAATTTTCACGGTTTTTATGTTTAGACACACCACATGCACTAAAGATGCTTTTCTTGTCAAACTTATAATCTGCTGAGACCACCTACAGCTTTCGGAACAGTCTTAGAAATTTTGACAGTAAATAAGAAAAAGAAAATACCATCCTGCACTTTGTCAAATTCTTTATTCCTTTAATAAACTTCAAATTAAGTTATGAGGATTGTTCGCAAGACAAAATATAATATTACGGCTAGACTTCGTACTTAATGTGGTTAATTTGCGATCAAAGATCCAAAGGTTGACTTATACAGAAGGGCTCAGCTTGTCAACCGGAACATATCTGTACTCAATCTAGTAGGTCCAAGTCTGTGGTTACCGCTGTAGCCCAGCTTATGAATCTAGATTAATAGTCCAAATTATGGAATAAGATCTTTGTAAATACGGTCTTTCGTAACTAAAACCTTTAGCCCATTTCTTCTTCATCCAGGGCATACTAAGTATATGTATATTCAAATGTATTCTCATCAAGCGCATTGTCTCTTCACGTGCTACCGTAAACAGCATAACAGCATTCCATATGTTAGAAAAACCAACCAACTGACATATACCTAAATACCTGTATACATACATACGCGTATGTGCATGGAGAATTCGAAGGACATGAAATTCTCGTTTATTGTTAAAATGTGAAAGCTGCACTGTCGGCGAAAATGGACAAAAAGTTTGTTGTTTTTGGAGGACATGATGTTAAGGAGAGAATAGATTTTTATTTTTGTCGACGGCTTTGTCACTGCTAGACATGATATCTCCATGTGTGTGTGTGTGTGTGTGTGTGTGTGTGTGTGTGTGTGTGTTTGGGGGAAGTGTTCGTTGACAGAAGCGGTGCGATATTACCAATACAGATAACGTATGTTCCACGTAGTTGTCTTTCATCTGTAATTCGCAGCTGTTTGTATTTCCTGGAACTTAGGAACAATAAAAGAAATATTTTAACAATAAAATAAAATGTGTGTATGAAATATTTTTTCTCCGAATTTTTCGCGTACGTCGTGTTTTTTTGGTGGTAAGATTATATATTCTTTCTGCTCCAAGTTTTCCATGTCCTGCTTTAATGGTATTACTTTAAACAATAAATGTATATGTGTATGTATATGTGGTAAACTGGATCTTCGGCGTGAGCAGGACAGATATCCATATATTCCTTTCACCAATTTGGTCTGTAAGTTATTTTTCTATTTATTTAATAAGTGTAAAGAACTCTACGGGTGAATGGAGTGACTTTTATGCAAGGAAATATATAGATAAAAACTGTTGTTTTTTAAAACTTAAATATTTTAATATTAAATTTTTTTACGAAATTGAAATATTGTTGTTTGCATTTATCTCCAATTTGCAATTAATTAATCCAACAAAGACCAATTTAAATTAAACTATTAACCGCAAAATTCTCAAATTGAACTTATATACAATACTATTTTATGGATGCGGTAGAGGCGCCAATTGTTCCGGAGATCAACTGCTCTCCTCACCAGAACTTAACATTTTCATTGGAGATTCAAATGGAGGGACCTACAGTTTATGCTCAGGCACCTCCGAACAATAGATGGTTTTTTTCACGAGGAGCTTTTATTTCATGTCCGAAATACACTCGTAGGAATGGACATTCCCTCCCATGGGGCGGCCGCAATTAGAAAATTGAACTTGCGTGATTTCAGAGTGATTGCATGAAACGGTAACATTTGATGTTTGATATGCAAATACATTAATTTTTTTTTCCACTTCCCAATGATTAGAGTGTTGGTGTCATAATTTTTCTTGTAGGCCTGGGTTCCTCGAAACGGGAATTTCTTGTTGTTTTTGAACATGTATCCATTTTTGAAATTCATAGTGAAAGTTCTAAATGAACTAATTTGCAGCTCATTAATTTTAGGTGAAATAAACTTTTATGCCCCCATTCGGTTTTCACGACAGTTGAGACCATTATTTTTAAAAAAAAAAGTAAAACAAGTTTCGCAGTATATGCCAAAATTTCGTTTGTTATTCCATTCGATTGTTGTTATTGTTGATTTGGCAGACTCACTTTTCGTAACGAAAAATTTGAATTAACCTCCCTCAATAAGTAACTCACTAAATTTCGTTAGATAGTTACTTTTTTAGTGTAATTTAGGCACTGCTGAATCTAAAAATGACAATGATTTTGCTCTGCCAGCTCTTTTTTTGCGGTATTCGAAAAAAAAACGTTTTTTCCTACATTTTTCTTATGTACTTCGTCTAAAATATTTTTTTATGTGACTATGGGTATTATTCAAACCAAAAAAAAAATACAATTTAACATTTTTTCAATGTTTTATATTTAAAAATCATTTTTGAAACTATACATAATCGATTTTAAAACTTAGAAAAACATCTTTTTAACGACTTTCTTGAATTTACTTTAGTACTTGAACTATCTCCTCGTAAACTCCAACAATAGTCGGCCATCATATGGGCGTCCCATTTTCTCTGGTATCTATTTTCCATGATTTTGATATTCTAGTAAACGTGACAAAATTACCATTAAGAAATTACTGCCAACCCTGTAGCAAACATAATTTTTTTTGTCGGCCAGTGGGGAGGAATGTCCCCGTTGGGCTTATTCTTATATCGCATTTTTTATTTTAAATTTTGGAAAACCAATACGAGATTGATAATCAGTGACCTTGAAAGTCTCCACGTAGCTTGATAGAATTTAAAAATATTACCGCCGTATTGGATCTGCCATTTGGAATTTGAAGGTGTTTTGGATATGTAATCAAGGACTCCGAAAACCCCAGTTCAGTTGATTTGAAGTGAATATGAAGCTTTTTGATTGAGAAAACAATTTTTTTTTTTGTAATAGGCCAAAAAATATAAAGTGGCGAAGTTTTTGAAAACATGGAAATTGCAGAGTCTCTCAAAAATGCATCAAGCATTCAGGGCGTCTTAAAATTATAAGTACAATACTTGAATTTTTTGAGAAGTCATCAGGCGATATTTATTAAACCCACTTTGAATGATAAAAACAGATGTTTTTTTTAACAAATACTTATTTATATTTATTTCAGATAGCGAGCATATATAAATGAAACATGAAACACCAAATATAAATGCTTTTAACGGTTCAACAATTTCGGAATATCATGGAAGAGCACAAACCAAATGAGGACGGATTTATTCAGAGCTCTCCTCCTCTCATTTATTACACCGCGTCAACAATTAACAGCACGAGTATTACTCAATCGTTTCTGGAACAACGATTACTCAACAAATCTCAATTCACCACGATGCATGGCTCGATTATAAGCACAGTTACTGAGGTAGTGCAGATATCTAACTCAACTGCCGAGGAGTGGGCACATTTCTACGACTTGATGTTATCTTGGCAGGGCATTTGTTTGATTACAATTTTCTGCATACTCATTGTGATCACAGTGTTGGGCAATACATTAGTGATTATAGCAATCATAACTACGCGTCGACTACGCACTGTTACAAATTGTTTTGTAATGAGCTTAGCTGTGGCGGACTTTTTGGTGGGCATATTCGTAATGCCTCCTGCAGTAGCCGCACACTTATTTGGTGAGTATCAAAACTCTTTTATATTCGAAAAATTGATAGCTGATATTTTAGACATCACTTTAGATAATCTTTAAGGCCCGTTTGGTCGAGTGACTGTCAATGTGAGGATCATGAAGCAGCCAATTAAATTTAACGATGTGATATTCGTTTTCATTTTCTCGACCACCTGTTAAATGGTTGTTAAATTTAACAGCCACATACTTAAACAGACAGTTGAGAAAAGAGAGGTTAATTTTAACGGTGATTTTAGTTTTACGACAAAATGTGCTGAGAATATTCATCGACAGACATATATAAAAAAAGAGGAGGTTTGTTAAGAAAATAAGGAGATTTTGAAAAGTAATTTAAGAATTGCTGGGTTTGACGCCAACTAGAGAAACACCTTCTACGAGTATGGCTAAGGGGTTACTGAATAAAATTCTGATTTTCTTCAATTGTCATAACCGAGACTACGAAAAAAGCACTTCACGTTCAAGGCAAATTTGGAGTTGAATGAAAGCGCTATCTTCCAAATTAAAAGGGTCATTTGTTTCTCGCAAACTTCTTAGCATACGCCTTTTTCTACTTTTTTGTTCATCTTCAATGAATTCCAGCCTAAAATATGCCCACCCAGTAGATTTTTTTTGTTACTGTAACAAAATTTACAGGATGACAGTAAGCTCAGAATATGAAATAGTAACAAAATTACTGAATGCTAAATTTTAATGCCAAAGTAAATTTTGTTGCCTTTACAGAATAGGCCTGTTAACAAGGCGAATTTATTGAAGGTGAAGTTGTCACATCATATGATTGCTTGTTCTTCCTTCCATTTAAACAAACTACATTGAACGAATTTTGTTTTTGTCTTTTCGAAACTACGATTAAACAAACGAATTAAATAATAAACAATAAATAATAAATATTAAGTACAGCCAGATCCTTCTCTACCTGGTCTTTCCAACGAAGTGTAGGTCTTCCTCTTCCTCTGCTTCCAACGACAGGTACCGCAAAGAAAACTTTCAAAGCTGGAGTATTCGCATCCATCCGGACCCAGCCCGCGAAGTCGCTTTTTCTTGATTCCATAGCAACCTGTCTTATGAGAGCGCCATGTAAGCACAAAGTTGTCACCGCTTAGCCATGCCGTTAGTGGCGGTTGTCCCGCGAAACCAACGGCGATTTGATTTTTACGTAAAGCCTGCTCGGCTCATTTCTCGTTGCTATACAAGATTGCCACTATAGTATTTCTTAAAGTAACATTAAATAATCGAAGATAATGCTTTTTTTCAAAAGAAATGAAAACTAAATGTGTAACTTATTATTGGTTACTGTATATTTGTCTTACGTTTATATTCAAGCATATAAATTATGAAATTTGTTGGCGAAAATCATGAATTTGTTCAGAAGTGCGCAAACACACTTACAGCTCTTAATAGTTCGCCGCTCTCAGCTACGTCAACAATTGTGTATATACGTTGCTCTTGACGTCGACTGTTACGGACGGATGGTAAGTAAAATGGGTAGTTGCAACATAACTCTTACAGCTCATCGTTCCATCGCCTGCTAATCTGCAAAGGACCATAACGAAAACTATGAGGGGCTTGTAGAGTTTGCTTTTCGTTCACCGGGAGAGGACTTTACTTTACTTTTCAATTGCGTACTCAGTCCAAAGCAGTACCTGTTGGCAAGAATGATTCTGCGATGGATTTCAAGGCTGACGTTATTAGTGTTATAAGTTAATGCTGGTTCCTAGATAGACGAAATAATCAACGACTTCAAAGTTATGACTATCAATAGTGACGTGGGAGCCAAGTCGCGAGTCTTGCTACTCCCGTGTGTAAATTTGCCTTGACATTTAAATAATTTCAAGCTGGCTTTTGACTAGTTGAGCCATCATACAAAAAACTAGGTAGTTTCGCTAAAATTTTTTTTCTAAAATAAACATTTGACATAGAAAAATTTTTTGAGTTTTGCTTTATTTTTGTGCTACCAATTTAATTTAGAAAAAAATTAATTTTCAATATTCTAAAATTAAAAAAGATATATTATATTACAAAAAATCAAAGCCTTTCAATGTAAATAGAAAAATAAAGGAAATCAAAACGGTACTCACAAAAAAATTAAAGGTTTTGCATTGTATTTTATGAAACCTAATAGAAATTTATATATGAAATATTTTTAAAGTGGCAATATTTTGGAGTTAACATGAAAATAAGGTATAATGGCAAAAAATCTTTTTCTGTAATCTTTTTTTCCTTTTTCTGTGTCATGAGTTGAGCAACGAACGAGTATCAAGCTGCTCACAGTGCTCGGGTATATAGGGATCTAAAAAATTTATAAGCAGATAATATTTCAAAAAAATCAAATATCAATTTAACTCGCATATCTCAAATTTTATTCTGCGAGCGATTAGTGCTTTAAAAAAACGAAATGATGTATTCGAGCACAGTAATGAACAAATAAATATTCCTTTGAAATATACAATTGATTTTTTGATTTAAACCAAAAGCAGATTTTTCATTTTGTTGCTCTGTTATTAGACAGTCCAAGTAGTTTATTATACCGATTCCTTCTGCTCTGCTAAACGGTATTTAGTAGAGCTCTGGATACCGCAATTTTTTGCATAAATAAATTTAAACTTACTGAAAATGATTTTGATGAAAAATTTTGAATTTCTGTTCTAAATGCTCGAATAGCCATAGCTCAATATCTCATACTCAAAAATTTTCAGGCAACGATTACTCGTTGCTCGCATGCTCGAGCCGTTCGCACAAATCTTGAGCACAAATATTTAGTTTGATCTGAGCTCAAACCAAAAAGCTAAGTAATGACGAAGGAATTGGAGGAAAGTATCTAAGCTGATAAGATAAAGAGTTGCCATTCGTTTCAATTAAACATTACAGTACTGTTATCAGATTAAAAAAGTAAAACAAAAGAAATCTCCATTCTACATGCTTACTTTCGAGAAAGTTTTAAATCTGTTTAACTTAATTTAAAAATTGGCAGGACTCAACAGATTACCCACAAATTTCTGGTAGAGGAGAAAAAGAAAATATTGCAGCTACTTTTCTTATATCCCTTTAAACGCAAAACGCAATCACATTTTTGATGTAAACAAATGTGGAAATATAATTTCAATACTAGAAAATGTGACAAGCCATATGGCACAATGGAATTGCTATGGTCAAACACTTGATGACCGCATTTTATATCTTAGATGGAGGCATACTTTGGCAAATAAACCAACATATGTATGCATGTACGTGGGCACTTCAAAATATACTGGAAGTAGTCTGAGGTCATTAAAAAGTATTAAAATTACTTGGCGACGCCATTTATGTATTTACATACTTTATGAGGCAGCCAAACAAACATAATGCAGTTATACACTTGGTTAGGTTGACGACAAATGACATATGGGAAATTTGAAGAAAACAATTGACAAAACTTAGCTCTTGGCATATCGAACTCATAAATCACACCCGGAAAACAGTTAAAGCTGAAAAGCCAAGAGTTACGTATATACGTATATTAATCAAATCGGATTTCATAACGAGGGGATCCGTCTGGAAAACGCCTTGATGAAGTTTTACTTTACTATTACTTACTAAAGAGAATTAATTCATTTGAAGAGAGAAGTTGGTAAAGAAATACAGAGTATATTCCTTCTTTCCAACGATGGTCTTCCACCGGCGCGGCCTACATAGAAAATTAAAAAAACTGGAGTATTCCACTCATCCGGACCACGTAACCAAGCAGTGTAGTCGCTGCCTCGGCATGATTCTCTGAACTATGTCAGTGTCGCCGTTTAGAAATAAACCATTGAAGTCAAACTTATAAGTGCCAAAACTCTCGACGAAATTCCTTAACATTCGGTGCACATACATTAAATGAGCATTATCCAGTAATAATTACATGTAAGCCCAAAAAACCGCCTTTTTATTCTCTGTAGGTTGAAGATATCATATCTTTGCTTGTACTTGACGGTACAAATTAATTCGAGGTAAGTTCTGGGTGGATTTTCATAGCCATTTTTGTACCTTTCTCTAGTGGACTGTTAGCGAAACTCTTAGATTAGATATCTAAGACGGGTTCTTGAAAGCGCCGGACAGAGATGTAGAAGATGTTTTAACGTCTCTCTCATGCCTGACTTTCTACACACCCTAGATGTGTTACTGCTTGCGTCAGATGTCAGTAAGTTGTGGCCTGTAATTAGACCTACATCGGTTTGCCGAACAAGAAATTGGGTGGGCTTTTGCTTGCTGTTCTTACACAAGAGGTTGGCGGTTTTGAATGCCGTTTAAAGTGTTTATTTTGAATAATTCTTTTTTTTTTAATTAGGCAATACTCTTTTCGGAGTTGCTCTTACTGTTACTTCAGATATATAATTAGCTCAGTCCGGAGTGCTCTGCGTAAATCGTGCAAATTTGTTACCAATTTAATGGTTTGGTTTTCATGGCACATCTCAAGAAAGTTTTGTTCAGCGAGGAATCTGACTTTTTATGGAATGGGTACGTTTATAGAACTGTCACATTTGGAGTGATGACGATTCACAAGCCATTGTTGAGACGCCGATACATCCTCAAAAGTCACTGTTTGGCTGTTCTATGGATGGTCACATAGCCAACGAAAAAATCAATGAAGGAAACTTTTGGTGGCGGCATTATCTCGCAACGTGGGACTGTAGCGTGGCCTACAAGATCATGAGATTTAACGCTGCTCGACTCAGTTGTTTATACAGATAAGCCTTGGAAGAGAATATTCGGCACATTATTGCTGCAAAACGTAGTTCGAAATTGGGTCTCTCGACATACTCTTATTTTATCTTAATAATAAAGCTAATTGAAAGGCGTTTAATTTCTTTTTAAAACCCTCATGCTTAAAAAATACACTTTATACAAAATAACATTATTTCTTTCCAAATTATTTACTGCCTTAAAGAAGCACATTTTGAATTTGAGAAATTTTCAACTGGAAATATTCATTACTCTGCCATTGTAATGCCGTTCCTCTGACACCTTAGTGCGTTTGCGTTGACAGTAAAACTCACGACAGGATCAACCGAAGTGATCTAATACTTTAAACTGAATTTCGGACAAAGGAAAAATAGTGAAAACTTACTTTATGGTAGACCTTTTTACAAAAAGAGAAAATTTATTTAAAATTAACTCAACATTTTTTTATACAGTTCTTATATTCCTCTTGATCTGTAACTCGAAGACGAGTTCAAAATTCATTAATGTCGGTTGAATAGTTTTCGAGAACTCTTAACAACTGACTTTGAAACATATTGAGTTTGGAGAAAAACAAGTTTAAAGCTGCGCTGAGCCTACCTGACAGGGCTGTATCAGCCATAGTTTAATTCGAATTGACTTGAAAATTTAGGATAGTGTTCAATATCTCTCGAATAGTAGAAGTTAAAATGAAAATAAATATCAATTTAATTTTTGAAAGCTGTGGAACCCATGTAACTCCTGCCATTACAACTCGCCCTGATCCGTTTTTCAGTTCCCTCAATAACTTTATAGTATAAAGTCTTTGGTGACTTGCTTATTTCATGTCTGCTTATTTCGTATATGTCTTGATTAATACAATTACAACTACTTAATATCACCTGCACTAGTATGATATAGCAAAAACGGCATAAAATGTTCTTAACTCGAAAAGGTAGAGCAAAATGTTGCATAGCGTGGTGCAGAACACTTTTATTTGCTAAAGTGTCCGATTTTTCTGTTACTCACAAAAGAAGCAAAGCTAATTTCCGACGGATATAGAAGCTGAGTTATTCCATGCGATGGCCAGAACAGCCAAACAATCAGCATAATTGAGAACTAGTTTTAAACTTATTTTTCTAATTTTCGTCAACCATTCAAAGGCAGGTCCGTTGAGAAAACTCCAAGACGAATATCGAAAATCGATTCCGGGGATTTTGCTTGAATGTTTCAAAGTTGGCCGAAAGTGTTTAAGGCACAAATGTATAACAAGAAATAACAAATAAATAAAGTCTTAGAGTTTAGAAAATAAATTGTTTCATAAAAATTCAGCACCCAAACCATTTGGTAGCCCGTAAGAAAGGGGTAATGTGGTTCTACATTACCTTTGCAGTTCATACAGGAAATTAGATATTCTTGAAATTGGACTTTATATGCTTTCATGATCACATGTATATTCGCTCTTGATTTAATAATGTTTCTTTCTTCAGGCTCTTGGCGTTTTGGCTGGATACTTTGCGATATTTGGGTGTCTCTAGATATCCTACTGTGCACCGCATCCATACTCAGTTTGTGCGCCATCAGTGTGGACAGGTGAAGAAAGCGATTTTTATATTTATTTATACATACATATCATATATTATGAATTCTAATGTACATGTACATATATATGTATATATATATGTAAAAATATCTCATTAGTCTAATTTAGTTATTTCTGCTTTCTTGCAGATATTTAGCAGTGACGAAACCGCTAAAATACTCACGTAAACGTCGTTCGAAACGCTTGGCGCTGCTAATGATACTTATCGTTTGGGTCCTGGCATTGGCCATAACGTGTCCACCCATGCTTGGTTGGTAAGTCATCCACTCAAGTCTAATGTAATACTTGTACTTGATTGCGAATTTAATAATATTGCATGGCGGGACGTAGCATAACACGATGTGGCATGGCTACCATTGGGATTGTCATTACTTTTTTGCTTGCAATCAAATTGAAAGCTAATCGTTCATGTTCGTGTTTTTTTTTGCTCCTTTCGCCTTAGGTATGAGCCCGGACGTCGTGACCGAAACGAGTGCCGTTACAATCAAAATAAAGGATATGTCATTTATTCAGCCAGTGGCTCGTTCTTTCTGCCAATGATTGTGATGATTTATGTTTATGCGCGTATTTCTTGCGTCATCGCTTCAAGGCATGACAAAATGACACACACAAGCGTACATTGGAAGGTAAATTAACCACTTACATACATATTTTGCGCTATCAATAAGGACTTGCATTAAATAACTTTCTAATTAAGCAAAATCATTAAGTAATTAACGTGAGCTGCAATTAATGATAGCAACTGAATACAAACAAACATTTGTACGCCATTGCTTATGTTCATATGAAAACGTGAGCAATGAACCAATTTCCATTCGGAACATATATATACATATAGTTAGATATTATATTATATTTAAAATAGAACTCTTATTCATTTATTAAACTCAACGCATGCTCAATACGTATGCTCGTAATAGCCAAGCTGCTCGTAAATACTTTACCTACTTTATCACTTTCTAAAAATACTTCTAGCGCTTTAGACGTTACACCAATGCCGATACAGTTAATTACGCTGAACAGGATCTCTTTGAGTTGGCACACGAGAAAAGCTCAGGTGAACGAAGGTACTCCAATCAAACCATCATTAATGAGCTCACTGAGGTTATCATACCAGAGGTAGAGAAAGGTCGTCCACTACTCAGTTTACCGGCAACGAATGGCCTTAAGGAGGCCAATGCCTATGGAATTGCACGGCCTGTGTCATGGAAAATACCGCCAACTGTTGTTTATCAGTACCCCTCTAGTGCAAAGCGACAACAATACGCCCAATCATGCCCGCCCGGTTCGATTGCGCGCATGCAGACACGCGGTTGCCAACCGCAACAGCAACAATTGAAATCCTTGGCTAACTGCATAATTTCGCTGAGGAAGGAACATAAGACTACACAAACGCTTAGCATTGTGGTTGGCGGTTTTATCGCTTGTTGGCTGCCATTTTTCATTTACTACCTGATCACACCATTTCTAGAGCCTCATCAGGTCAGCAGAGCCCTAACGAACGTGCTCACTTGGCTGGGTTGGCTGAACAGCGCAATAAATCCCTTCATTTATGCATTTTACAGCATCGATTTCCGTATTGCCTTCTGGCGACTTGTCTGTCGGCGTTTATGTAGCAACATGATGCGACCGCCAACACCAACAACCACAACATCGATGCGTCTGTAGGAACGGAACGGAACGGAACGGATCGGTCGGTATAAGAGCAAATTGCAAGTCATTTGTGTCTTTGAAGAATACGCACCTGACAGTATTTGCATGCAAATTTAAAGATTAATTTGTATGAACAGATATGCATATCTATATATACGCTACGTTGTTCTTAAATGTATATATGTATGTTATGAGTATAGGGGTAAGTACTGAGGTACTTATGCTTAGGTATTTTATACGAGTATAACTTTGTATGTGGAATCTTATTTGTTGCATTTAAACGCTCAGCACTGAATTCATATATAATTTCAGAATTTTTGATAAAAATAAACATAAATATATATATATAATAATGTGTTACAGTATATAATGCTGTTTACAACACTTTTGTTTAAGAAATTACAAGCATATATATATACATACATAGGGTTTATTTTTTGCGTACCAAAGATAACAAAGTATTACATACAAATGTAAATATTTGGTGTATGTAAGTTTTTCCATAATTGATATTTATATACATACATACCTTTAACTAAATACTATGTATTTGCAGCGATTAAGAAAATATTTATTTATTGAAATGTTATGTTTGTATGTGTAAGAATAATATATGTAGTTATCACTGAGCGATGGCAATTATTGTATTTGTATTTTCTTTAATTATGAAAAAGTTTTTAACTATATGCATTAAAACTTATAAGTATTATTAAATGTATAAACAAACATGAGAAAATATATTGCGATTGTATTATTAAAAATAAGTTTCTTTTTGACCTTTGGTTACTCAAAACAAAGCAACCCCCCAGAGAAAAATTGTATTATGATTCAAAACTGGCTCAATCTGTATGGGTATTCTCTTAGTCTATGCATGCTAAGGTGCATGGATTGCATCCTATCAGTGCGATTTCACAACAACAAAACACATAAAAAACACTACGTTAGGAAAAATATTCTATACCCACCCTTATGCATACTTATACATATGAATTTCCCATAGCTTGCAAAAGGAAAACAGAAATCCTACATCAGCTAATTGTTGTTGTTTAACTGTGAATTTGTCAAAATCCTCCTGTAGTGGGATGCGCTCATTCTCTATTAAATTTGTCTAGTAACTATTTGCATAGCACGCATTTCCCACCTTATATGTATGTAGATATATACGTATATAACAATGAATCAATATTTCCCTTGGTCATCGCATGACCTACAGAGCGTAAGCGAATTAAACAATTTCAACAGCTCTTTTTTAAGCTGTTTATTGTTATCAGCTTTGTATAGGGGAAAATTTAAATTTCGTCGTGAAGTGGATGAGAAGACGATTTTTTTTTCAAAAACATAATATTGCATGACATGGTTTGTTGGTTCATTGCCCGTCTATGAAAAAGTTTGAAAAACAATCGCCAAACAACCACACTCGACAATTGGTATGCCAAAAAAAGCGATTCCACTTTGCGCAATATATCGTGGGATGAGCCTACCAATATCGCATACAAGGTCCTATTGAACGTTTTGTGCGAAGGACTAAAGTCCACCGTCAATACAAAATTCATTGGACCTTATTAGTGTCGTTATAGCGCTGGCAAATCAACCATTGACCAGATATTCACCACGAAAAGGTGCTGCTTCTACACCGCTATGTCACAATTTGGTATCCCCGGAAAGCTTATACGGCTATGTCAACTAACTTTAAGCAACACCAAAAGCTCTATCAGGATCGGGAAGCCAATACCAAACGAGGTTTCAGACAAGATGATTCCTTATTATGTGACTTCTTTATTTTATTGCTGGAGAAAATAATACGAGCTGCATAGCTGATTAGCGAAGGTACAGTCTTCTATAAGAGTGCACAGCTGATTTTTCAAGACTGGATGAGGAAGCAAAGGATATTGGTCCAGAAGTGAGCGAGTGTAAATCGAATATCTCTTGTCATCGAACAAAAAATCATCGCATTCCCGACTTGGCTTACACGTCACTGTTGAGAGTTATAACTTCGAAGTCATAGATAATTTCGTCTACCTAGGCGACGAATCACTCTTGCCAACAGGTGCAATTGGACTGAGGGGGCAATGGAAAGTACAGAGAATAAATTCTACAAGCCGCAGCCCTCTTATTCGACTGCAGCTTTGAAAGTTTTCGATGCAGTACCCGCTGGTTGAAGCAGAGGAAGATCTCCACTCCGTTGGAAAGACTAAGTAGAGAGGGACCTGGCTGGACTTGGTACTCCCAATTGGTACCCGCCGGAGAGAGGCAGTAAGTAAGAGCCATTACCAGGACAGTAAAGCGGCGCACATTTTTTGGCTAGACTTATTATTCTATTAAATATAAAAATTTGCTAAGGATTTTTTTCAAAAGAATTTGAATAAAATTATGTAAAAATCTAAGGAAACTTCTAAAGTTATTAATAAAAGTATTATATAAGATTCGCACTGCTTTTGAGTTACATGCTTCGGCAAAGAAAGGAAAAATACACGTGTAATGTTATAAATAACAGAAGTTAAGAACGTCTGGTTTAAAGTGCCTTAAGCAGTTTTTATCCTTAACTTCATCATTATTATATGGCCAATTTCGTGGCTAATGGTTCTGAGGATTTGCAGAGAATTTTTAAAACTAATTTAACTGCTTTTACCTTGAACGGCAATACTTTGATTCATAATTTTTGAAAACCCTTTTTGTCTTTCCTTTTTTTAAATTTAATGATTTTTAACTCACTCATTTTGTTATTCTTTTATAAAATTAATTTTGGGCACTAACTCTATTCTATGCTATTCAAACATGGTTTGGATACAAATTTAACACTGACGCGCAATATCTCTGTACCGGAGTTTGAATAAACGGTTACTAAAACTTTCCACAAACAATAGAGAACGGTAAGGAATGAAAAAGAGAACGCGGAAAATATCCGAACGAGTTTCGCATATTGGTTGCGCAATATGTGCTCAGTCTTTAATATAGACTCGAATACTTTGTCTTTGAGTACGAATTTCTCAACTGGGAGGTAATAAAGAGACAGCGGGTATGTCGTCCGAATGGATGAAAACCCTGGTGTCTCTACTCTACTCTCTCTAGTTGGATCGTATCTTAGCCAATGGAGAAAGCATTTGGTTTGAGAAAATTACACTAGCCTCAAAGACAGTGGTCGAGATTAAATAATTATTTTTGTAAACTATTGAGTTGTTAGATATCAAGAGGCAAAGGTAAAACATTTTATAAAGTCAAAAAATTTGATATTATAAAAATATTACTAACAGTGTATCAAACTAAATAAAAATAAGTTGATCGAAAGAGTTGCCAGCAGTTTTACTTTTTTTTTAATAAAAATTATTATTGACGAAATATTGCACATGGGCAATCGATCGAAAAGGAGTTAAGAAAGCGCTTCTTCAAAGTTGCACGAATTGGATTTAATATGGACAAGTATTAATTTCCAGATCTACCAATTTGAAATTAAAATGGTTGAGAAAGTATTACATTTTGTAATAAGCTTCTGATTTATCTAAATAAAATAATAAAACTAAATAACTTATATAACTTTAGCAATTATTAGAAACAATAATAATTTGAACTAGCAGTGTCATCTGTTCAAAAGTTAAATTCAATTAAACTAAAAGCACTGTACCCATTATTTGGAACTGTGCACTTCTAATGGAAAGAGCAATACTAATCTTCTTTGGTCTTCAAATGACAGGTGAAGTAATGTTATCTTTCGTAAGACGCGGCGGAACAACAGGAAACTTTACATTGAACAAGGATTACTGGGGCTGCTAGTATGTGCATACATACTTACATCAAAGTGAGTTGTTTTCCGAGCGTTCTTCTCTTTGATATATTCGACTAGTTGTTGCACGCGACTTCGCCGGCATTGAGTTTCAAAATGGCTCCAATAGGATTTTCAATTGGCTTTTGCGTTATTTATTTTTATTTTATCCAAATATATAGAAAGCTTTGTGATATATGACTGACGTATCAACCCACAGCCTGAACCACTCTTCTTAGATACCTTAAACGAAAAGTTTGTACTATCGTTTGATTCAAATAAAATTCTTTCTTCTTTTCTCCAATTGGAAAAACCGAGTACAGCCAGCTCCATTTCTGCTTGGTCTTTCCAACGGAAATAAGGTCTTCCCATTCCACCGACGTGTAATGCATTGAAAACGTTTAAAGCTGGAGCATTCGTATCCATTCGTACCACATGACCTAGCCAGGGTAGCCGCTATGTCTTAATTATCATCATTCTTCATTCTGTCGGCTGCGATATTCACCGTTACCAACTCGTAGAGGACCGTAAATCTTCCACGAAAACCTTTTTCACAAAAACTCCTAACGCCGACTCATCAGATGTTGTCATCGTCCATGCTTCCGCACCATATCGCAGGACGGGAACGATGAGAGACTTGTAGAGTTTAGTTTTCGTTCGTGAGATAAGTTATAATACTGGTTCCAAGATAGACGAAGGTATCTCCGACTACAAAGTTATGACCGTCAACAGTGACGTAGAAGCCAAGTCGTCTTCTTTCACTGGTCTTTTCCAAGATTTGATAAGTTCCATACAGTATAATATGCTCTGTGCAACGGGGGCTAAATCATTTTGTGTCCGAGAGTAGTCTGCTTTGGTCTTGAAGCCTTCCGCATCATTTCTTAGAATTTTTCATTTTTTTCCTGCAAATGCGTTTTGCTTCCCTTTTCAGCTGTCGGTACCTATCCCATCCCGCACGTCTTGTGGTCGATCACAACGTTGTGAGGTAGGCAGTCTACTTTGTCTCCGACACGGCAGTCCTCATCGTACCAACTGTTTTGCGACCTCTCCAAAAACCAAAACATTTGCTGCTGTACGTAAGGAGTTTGAAATGCCGTCCCACAATTCCCGCATACCGAGTTGCTTTGAGATTGCAGCTTTTCGACATCGAACTTTTATTGTGTTTGTTGTTTTTTGTTTCACGCACAGAGGCGTAGGCGTATCTCCGCTGTAACAAGATAGTAGCCCGAGGCAATGTTGGGTCCTTGGAGGGTACGCACATCAACAACACTGGATACATGTCTTCCATCTACCACAACATGATCGATCTAGTTTTGTGTTTTTCGATCAGGGGACAGCCAAGTAGATTGATGTAATTTTTTTGTGCTGGAATCTAGAGCTACAAACAACCATATTTCGGGCTGCGACAAAGTCGATCAACCTCAACCCGTTAGGGGATGTTTCGTTGTGAAGGCTGAACTGCCCAACAGTCAAACAAATGATACCTTCTTACTTCAACCCACCCAGGCATGAAAATTTCCAAACACTATTT